AAGAAATAAGAAAAAAAAAGAGAGCGAGGTCGGGGAGGTAAGGGGGATTGCAAGAGGGAAAGTAGGAATTTAGCAAAGATGGCTGCTGCTGCTGCCATCTTGCTCTGGAAGGTACCCAGTGAGGTGCGTGTGCGTCTGTGTGTGTCTGTGTGTACGTGTCTATGTTTATGTACGTGTCTGTGTGTATGTACGTGTCTGTGTGTATGTACGTGTCTGTGTGTGTTTAGGAGATACCCAGTGATGTGTGTGTGTGTACACGTCTGTGTGTGTGTGTACGTGTCTGTGTGTAGGAGATACCCAGTTAGGTGTGTGTATGTACGTGTCTGTGTGTATGTACGTGTCTGTGTGTAGGAGATACCCAGTGATGTGTGTGTATGTACACGTCTGTGTGTGTGTGTGTACGTGTCTGTGTGTGTATGTATGTGTGTGGGAGATACCCAGCGAGGTGTGTGCCATGCGTGGTGATTAGTCATCTGTGTTACCGATCTCCCAATGTGCTGCTCCCCCCCGCCCCGTCCTCCTCTGTGTCCTCACGGGAAATTGAGTGGTGGTGGTGGGGCGTGGTGGTGCAACAGCAGATAACAAATTGGACCACCAGCATCCACTCAGTGCCGCATGAATGGACACGAGTGTCTGTACGTGGGGGTCATTATCGCGACGGTATAAATAGATACGCGCTAGTTGTGTACCTGTGTGTGTCGGTGTGTGTCTGTGGGGAGCGGTGGTGCAACGGTTAGCGGCTACGCTGCGCTGCGAACACCAGCCGCCCGAGTTCGATTCCCCGCTAACGGCCACCAACACCGACAGTGACGATTATCTGAAACGGTCTTGGGCCTCCCCTAGGTCAACTCGGCCTCAAATGAGTGGTTTGGTGTAGCGGTGTGTAGTAAACATCGCCACTGGGGAGACAAAGGAGGCTGGGCGTGGTTCTGGCCACCCACCCCCTCGTGTGCTGTTCTGGCCTTCATAGGTGCTCGCCAACAGCACTTGCCCCAACAGTCTGTTGAGGCTATACAGTGGATATTTGTCTTTGGTGTGTGCAACCGTGCTATGTGCGTGTGTGTTGAACTTCTTTCGCACCGTACGTAGCCAACCGTGCTATGTGTGTGTTGAATTTCTTTGGCACCGTACGTAGCCAACCGTGATATGTGCGTGTGTGTGTTGAATCAGCTAGCTGGGTAGCCGGCTACAGGGGGCACGTTTTTTCTCGTGTTATCCGTCGAACAATTGAATGTCGGGTTTCAGGTTTAAAAGGCGGGGGACGACATTCGAAAGACATTCAACTGGAATAATGATAATGATGATGAATTAATAAATGACACAGAGACAGCGAAGATGTGGTAGCTATGAATACAGAATCAATGTCATTCTTTCGCCAAAATATAACTTAAATCTTATAGAATACATTCACATATTTGTTCGTAAACCTCGCCATACATATTATGTTGGCATTTGACTGGCGCATGCACCAGCTGCGTTTTACACGCCCGTTGTTGTGAGCGTCGCTCGCTCTTGCCTGCCCTCTGCTGTTGCCGGAGGGGCGACTGACTCCAACCGGCCCTGTAGCCTGCTCAAGGTGCACCTAGCCTGGCACTGTCCAGTAGCAGCGTCCTTCACGAGCCTCCTCCTCCACAGAGGCCGACCTTGACACCGCTGGTACCGGTTATCGGCAAGTCCACTCAGCTCCACGTCCTCCTGTACCACATCAGCTCCATCTTCTCTCTAGCCCGTGCCGCGCCCGTTTAGCCCCCTCTATCAGGCCGAACAAAAAGCTGTTTCGGTATGCGGTGGCTGGGCATGCGGGCTACATGACTCAGCCACACACACACCCCCACACAGACACACCACCACACACATCCATACACCACACTTCTTCACACCAATGCCGGATTGTCCTAGTAGCAAAAGTAGCTACATAAGCTACTTTCAAGGGCCCCGCGCTAAACGCTTTCAAGCTATCAATTCCGGTTGAGTGAATCTGCACTTGCTCTATTACTATAGTACTATACTGCCTTCAACTTTTATGAACGACTGGGTGTTTAAGGTTAGCGATTTGTCGTATTATCTGGCTTTACAGCAAATGAAAAATACAATTATTTGACTATGAAAGTAAAAAATTCTTATTTTAATATTTACGTTATAACTTTTTAATTCAGGGCCCCTTCATAACATATGCTACAGGCCCTGCAATAGCTTAATCCGGCACTGCCCCGCACATACCAAAGACAAAGATCCCCCATATAGCCTTAACAGACTGTAGGGGCAAGTGCTGTTAGCGAGCACCTATGAAGGCCGGAACGGTACACGAGGGGGTGGGTGGCCAGCACCACGCCCGACCGCCTTTGTCTCCCTAGTGGCGATGGTTACACACCGTACCAGGTACTCCTTTGAGGCTGAGTCGACCTAGGAGAGGCCCGGTTCAGATAATCGTCATTGGTGAGCGGGAATCGAACCCCGTGTCGCCGGGTTCATAGCGCAGCGCGCTAACCGCTGCACCACCGCTCCCCACACACAGTCGAACGCCCATCAACCTCGTCCATTCATCCTCCACCCTCTCGCTCAACCACTCTGAGATATTTTATTGGGCGGCTAAAGCCCCCAACGAGCTACCGGCTTCCCCCTTTTTTAAATCCTTTATATTAAGTTCGCTTGCTTGGTTGCGTGCTTGCTTGCTTGCTTACGACCGTGTACGTCTTTCGGTCGTTTTTTAACCCACTTCCCATGATCCAATCGAGTTGACATTTTCCACACAGACTCGTTGTGCGTGACAATTAATGTTCGTGAAAAATTTTTTCCAAAATTTTACACTTTATAGGACAAAAATATTATATTTAATTACCAATTGTTTAATACTGCAGACAATCATCTGACCCATAAGTGGCAGCCATCTCAAGCCAGAGGACGAGAGGACTCTAGCCGTTCCGCATATAAAGGATTTAGAGTGAAAAACTTTGTTTTTACGGGTTTACTTATTTCGAAGTGACTAAAGACAACCAGAAATATCATGGGACCTTCTTTGCCAGTACCAAAATATACTAATAGGGTTTTTCCCCTTTTTTCCCGGCAACAAAACTGACACCTTTTGCAAGGAATCATGTTTACATTAACCACAATACTTGCAGTCAAATGTTTTTTGGGTTAGATCGCTCGAGTATAAATGTTGTGTCGTAACCCTCCACCACCCCACACGGCCAAATAGTAAGGGATTTGTAAAGTAGTGTAGAGTGTAGTGTAGAATGCAGTGTGTAGTGTAGAGTGTAGTGTGTAATGTAGTGTATAGTGTAGTGTGTAATGTAGTGTGTCGTGTATAGTGTAGTGTAGTGTGTCGTGTAGTTTATAGAGTAGAGTATAGTGTGTAGTGTGTAATGTACTGTGTAATGTAGTGTGTAGTGTAGTGTTTAGTGTGGTGTATAGTGTAGTGTGTAATGTAGTGTGTAGTGTATAGTGTAGTGTATAGTGTAGTGTATAGTGTCGTGTGTAGTGTAGTGTATAGTGTAGTGTGTAGTGTAGTGTGTACTGTGTAGTTTAGTGTAGTGTGTAGTGTATAGGGTAGTGTGTAATGTAGTGTGTAGTGTATAGTGTAGTGTATAGTGTAGTGTATAGTGTCGTGTGTAGTGTAGTGTATAGGGTAGTGTGTAATGTAGTGTGTAATGTAGTGTGTAGTGTAGTGTATAGTGTAGTGTACTACTTCAGCCCACCGGTGTGTTGGAGAGCAAATCCACAACATTCACAATTTGAGTAGTATGACGTTTTGCTGGTAATTACATCAACCAGCATCATCGGGCGATTTGCTAGAGTCTGTCACAGGCTACACGCACTAATGGGGATGTCCTTTTGTCTCTGTGTGTGCGTGTGTTGGTGGGTGTGGTGGGAGCGGTGGTGTAGCGGTTAGCGCTACGCTGTACTACGAAACCGGCGACCCGGGTTCGATTCCCGCTCACGGCCAACAGCCAGTGACGATTCTCTGAACCGGCCCCGGGCCTCCCCTAGGTCGACTCAGCCTCAAGTGAGTACCTGGTTAGGTGTGTAAACATCGCCATTGGGGAGACAAAGGCGGCCGGGCGTGGACGGCACCCTCGTGTTCATCTTCTGAAGCGCTCGCTCGTCACCGTGGCGTGCGCGATGACCACCCCCACCACTGCCACCACCACGTAGCATTTCTTTCGTGTTGTGCGTGGTGCATTTAGCTCCACAGCACGTGGATTTTTCGCGTTTATTTGTTTGCTGGTGACTTTGTGTGTTTCGTATCGGAATCGCCTCCAGTGCTGTTGCTGCTGGCGGCAATAAAAGTTGTTTAAAAGTCAAAAGTCTATCTTTCTCTCTCTCTGAGCCTAGGGCATGGGTTTCCCGAACACCAAATACAAATATCCCCCGCATAGCCTGTAACAGACTGTTGGGGCAAGTGCTGTGAGCGAGCAGCAGCACCTATGAAGGCTAGCTGCGCTGTGGCACACAATGGGGTGGGTGGCCAACACCACGCCCGGCCGCCTTTGTCTCCGACGACCGGATCAGATAATCGACCATTTTTTTGGCCGTGAGTTGGAATCGAACTCGGGACACCGGGTTCGCAGTGTAGCGCTAACTGCTACACCACCGCTCCCCCGATACCATCGCCACCACCGCCGCTACCACCACCACCAAGCTCCCGTCTCTCCGCATGTACCAATCTCGTAACAAAAAGAGGTACACTTATTTTTGAAGCATTCTTTAAATAATTAAACGTCACGAAATATTACAGGAGCATTTGCTTCGCAACGCCTGGACAGGTTCCATATGTATCATACGTAGCCAACCGTGCAATGTGTGTATGTTGAACTTCTTTCACACCGTACGTTACCAACCATGCTATGATTATGTATGTTGAACTTATTTTACACCGTAAGTTACCAATCGTGCTATGTGTGTGTGTGTGTCGAACTTAATTCGCACCGTACGTAGCCAACCGTGCAAACCGGAAGTGCGGCGCTCATTACACATGGAACGAGAGGGAGAAACACTGTTCAACTGTCCCGCCGTCCTACGACGCCATTCCCAGGATGCACCTTGCTGCGGAACATCCCGGCGATCGCCCGACGGATCTTGGCCGTGCAGAGGCCGTAGATGATCGGGTTGAGCGCCGGCGGTAGGATGAAATGCGCCAACTGGAAGAACATCTTGATGCCGACGGGCAGCGACTCGACGCCGATGAATCCCTTGACGAACGAGAAGAGGATCGATGTGTAGTAGACCGAGACCACCAGCAGGTGGCTGCCGCACGTTCGCAGTGCCTTCCGGTAGCCGTCTCGCTTGCAGCACTCGTTGAGGATGAGCGCGTACATGAGGCAGATGAAGCCGGCGGGCAGCACGACGGCGACCGCGAGCATGGTGTAGGAGTAGCGCACCGCGTGCGTCACGTCGCCGCACAACATGTGCAGCACGCTCAGGGCGTCGCACACGAGCGACGGGTTGACGAGCGGCGCGCACGCGTCCATCGCCAGCAGCAGGTAGATGTTGACCAGGCCGAAGGCGAGGGCCAGGAGCGTCGCGGCGGCGACGGCGGCGAGGGCGCGAGCGTTGGACGCGATGGCGCGGTACCTGAGCGGGCGCACGACGGCCAGGCAGCGGTCCAGGGACATGGCGCTGAGCACGAAGCTCTGGACGCGCGTGGCGAAGTGGACGAAGAACATCTGCGACATCGCCTCGCCGAACGCGATACGGTTGAGGCCCAGCGCGTTGGCGATGACGCGCGGCAGGCTGGCGGCCGACGAGACGACGTCGGAGGCGGCGATCGCCGCCACGAAGATGAACATGGGGCGGTGGAGGCGGCGCTCGCTCGCGACCGCGAGGCCAATGAGGCCGTTGCCCGCGAAGGAGATGAGGAAGGCGGCGGCGAGGACGGCGACCGCGAGGCACCGAGCGCCCTCCGAGTCGAACACCGGGGGCACCATGAGGACGACCCCCGAGGCGTTGCCGAGGAGAAGCGTCCGCTGGTGGACGAGCGACGACGCCGTCAAGCTTTTGTTGTTTGGCGGTCGTCGGGTGACCGGTGCGAGAGTGGGCGGGGGGGGGGTTGGAGGGGAGGTGGAAGTCAGACAGGTGGGGGAGGGGTGTGGTGGAAACAAAGGGGGTTGGGCGGATCGCATGGATTGTTTTAAATGCTCTCAAAACCCGCTATGAGGGGGGGGGGGACTTACGAGTGGCCAAACGGTGGCAGTTGAGAAAGTGGGTTCATGACCACCGTTTGTAATAGCGGAGCTTACGCCGTGAAGCAAAAACTGGCCAGTATTGGTTGTGGTGGTAGCAGTGGTGATGGGGGTGGGAGTGGAGTTGGTGGTGGTGGTGGAGGTGGTAACGCTGTGGTGAGCAATGCCATGGGGAGAAGTCCAATTTCAATTTGGGTCTTCTCCTCGTGGCGTTTGTAGCCACCACATTGCCCAATAGGGGCTCTCTGGATGTGTGCGAGGGGCTGGTAACCCCTCCACCTTCAAAAATATCCCACTAAGTTTGTGTCGGTAGCCCCGGAGGGACAGGCGTCTATGACGTCTCCTGACCAAACTCCATTTAGTGGAGGCAGGAGATTGAACTCTTACCCTCGGGGTTCTTCAAAAAACGTTGAAGAATACACTGCGAGTGGCCACGTGGAATGTTCGAGCACTCACTGCAAGAGGAGAGGCTGCCACTCCTTTGTCGGGAGCTGGACCAGTACCACATGCATCTCTGTGACATTCAGGAGGTCCAGTAGACCGACTATGGCTACAGTCACCATGAGGGGTGCACAGGCCTCCACTCTGGGCAGGAGACTGCTGAACAACAGGGAGTGGGTCTTCTTTTGAACAAAATAATGAAAGGGGTGTAGGAGTGTGACGGTGAGGTGTAGGAAGCTGTAAGCCCCAGGTGACTGTGGACTCGCTTCCCTATTAACGGGAGGCTAGGAATGGGGGTGGTGGTTGCTTATGCCCCCACTGAAGATGAACTTCATTGGAAGGATTCAGGCAAGGCCGATGAGTCAGATGCCTCCTATGGCCTCATGTCACAGGCGCTAGCTGAAGTGGTCCCTTGGGAGGGAGTCATCCTGTTGGGTGACTTGAATGATCGAGTGGGTCATGATGCTGGCACCTCGTCGGGAGTGATTGGAAGGCATGTTCCAGATCAGTCAAAGGCTGCTATACTTCTGTGGAGCCTATGGGCTGTTATTACTAACACGATGTTCCGGCATCGGCGCATCCACACAACATTTTGGAAGCACTCCGGGTCCAAGCAAGAACATCTGCTGGACTATATAGTGATGGAACAGCGGATGTGGGCCCATGTCCATGACACAAGGACCCACAATGGAGCTGATCTGCCCACTGACCATCGGTTTGTCATTGGTAAGATGCGCCTGCCATTCTTCCACTTCGGATGTGGGTGTCTATCTAGGACCCCATTCAAACACACCGTGGCCTGGTCTCAGATATCTGATGAAAGTTGCGAGTGAGAATTTCCTCATCGCATGCAGCTAATGGGAAATGGGCGAGATTTAGGACTGTGGCTCATGCAACTGCAAATGATCATTTGGGTACATGGTCCAAAGCTGCCCAGCGACGATGGCTGACGCAGGAGGTATTCTGGCTGAATGAGAAAAAGCGACAGGCACACTCCCAACGTCCATGGCATTCAATGTTGGAGAATGAGGAGGCTTACTGCAGCCTTCACTCGGAGGGTCGGAGCGTCGTGTGGTGCTGCAAGGATGAGTGGTGGTCGCAGGTTACTGAGGGAATGCCTCAGCAGCTTGCGATCACAAATTACTCTTCAATTCCATCAATAGAGTAACTTGCAGAACCACGCCTATCACAAATTTTAGGAGAAAGAAAGACGACCCGATCTCCGACCTTCAGGAACAAATTTGCAGATTTGCTGAGCATTTCTTTGAGGTCTAGGGATGATCCTGCTGAGGCTGCGGTGCCTCAAACATTGGAAGAAGTCGTCACCCCCTGTGAGTGGCTATCTGATGTGATAACTGGTACCAGCAGTATCAAGATCGGCCTCTGTGGAGGAGGCTCGTGTAGGATGCTGCTACTGGGCAGTTCGAGGAAGTCGCCCTCCAGCAACAACGGAGGGCAGAGGAGCAAAGCTCACAACAACAAGCGGAGCCCTGGGTGGCTAAAACACTAGCAAGTTGCCATCGTAGGAGGGGCATAGGTGGTGCATCGACCAGTCATCTCTGTCACTCTGTCACGCACCTGAGTTTGTCCCGTGACCTCCTGCCACCGGGCATTTAACACTTCACATCGCCTTAAAGTGCATATAGCCTGGCACAAGCGCTGTGGTGATGTCACCGCCACTTAGTGGCGAATGACAATTGTTGTTGGTTGTGGTGGTGGTGGAGGTGGTGTTAGTGGTGGAGGTAGTGGGAGTGGTTGTGGAGGTGGTGGTTGCTACGTTGCTGCTGCTGCTGCACGTGTCTGACTGTGGGGGTTGGTGCATCACACAAGGATGGGTTTGTAGAACTCCCTTTCTACCCGTGGGTGGACGTCGATGAGGAATCGTACGCCGGGTTATGCCAGGTAGAAGGCGGCGCAGCAAGTGGACTAATCTCCATCTGTTCCATCTGTATGGAGGTGGGGGGGGGGATAGAGCGTTACCCTCTCGTGCAAGGCTATGATTGTCTCCAGGTGCTTCCTCCTCCACACGTGAGTAATAATATACATGAAGGAGGAGACACATAGAAACTAAACTATACCGTTTAAACTCTTCAGTTCATTCAGCCACTGTCTTTCCGACAGACCTGTTCTTCACCTGAGGACGGCTGCTTACGTTGTGGCCGAAACGTCGTGAGAATTATGTTATTATGTTTAATTTTTTATTATTTTATTATTTCCCTTCTACGTGACTTTACCGAAAGAACCAAGAAGATGAATCCCTGCAGTCACGAAAGCTTTTAAATCTAAAAATATGTCGGTGAAGTCACGTAGGTTTGAAATTAAAGAAATCACGACGTTTCGATTGCAACACAAGCAATCATCATCAGGTGGGAAAACCACAGCATTATTTTTTTTTCTTGCTGTGGTTTTCCCACCAGATGATGATTGCTTGTGTTGCAATCGAAACGTCGTGATTTATTTTATTTTATCTACCTACGTGACTTTACCGAAAGAACCAAGGAGTATGGATTCCTGCAGTCACGCAAGCACAAATCTAGATTATGCCGTTCAATTTATTTTACCAGGTAAGGCCCACTGAGCTATTCATTATCACGGTGGCTTGGAGATGTTAACTACCTCGCCTGGTATGCAGGAGGTCGGGGGTTCGATCCCGGATCCTGACGATGCCTGCTGCTGCTGCTATATGTGGAGTCTGCGTCTCTCTCTCTCTCATCATCATCACGGTGGCTAGGATATGTTAATGACCTCGCCTGGTACGCAGGAGTTCGTGGGTTCGATCCCGGATCCTGACGACGCCTGCTGCTGTATATTTGGGGTCTGCGTCTCTCTCTCATCATCATCACCGTGGCTAGGAGATGTTAATGACCTAGCCTGGTACGCAGGAGGTCGTGGGTTCAATCCCGGACCCTGACGAAGATGCCTGCTGCTGTACATTTGATTTTGACGCGACTCGTCCACAAGTGATAGCTCAACGAAGTGGTTCATCGGTATCGTGTGGAAATTCACAGCAGCCAAATACTCTAAACGGATGTTTCAAACATGTGGAGGGAAAACTCGGGAGACACGCAAACTCCAAATATACAGCAGGCGTCAGGGTCGGGATCGAACCGACTGCCTCCTGTATACCAGGCGAGGTAGTTAAAATTTCGCCTCTGTGGCGCCCATAGACTCACAGAGAGACCCATAGACTCTCTACATGGAGAAACATAGACTCGCAAAGAGACCCATAGAATCACCTAGAGACCAATACACTTACACGACGAACCATAGTTTGACACAGTCCCATAGACTTACAAAAACATCCATAGATTCACACAGAGACTCACAGACTCACACAGAGACCCGTAGACTCACACATAAACCTGTAGACTCACACAGAGAGCCATAGATTCACACAGAAACCCATAGACTCAAACAGAGACCCATAGACTCACAAAGAGACCCATCGACTCACACAGAGACCCATGGACTCACATGAAGGCCCAGTGTAGTGAATCGATGATGTCGATCACCCAAATTTCTACACACAAAAAAACTCCGTTACATTAAAATCGGCTCGGCATTTCTAATTTGACGAGATCAAGAACAGGGCGGGGGATGGGCTTGATGGCCGAAATGGCGAGCGATGACCGGTGTGGTGGTGGTGGTGAGCGATGAGAGGGTCCACGTTTGGTTGAAGGGAAAAGTCTGTTGTATTTAGTGGTGTATAGTGTAGTGTACAGTAATGTATAGTGTAGTATATAGCATGGCTTGTGCAGTGTATAGTAGTAAATAGTGTAGTGTCTAGTGTAGTGTATCGGGTAGTGTGTGTAGTGTATAGCATAGTGTGTCCAGCAAAACAAACAGTCTGAGACCAGGAAAAGCACCGGGTAGAGATGATCTCCCAAATGAAATGGCGAGCGAGGGTGGCGTTTGTGCACAGACTGCCCTACAAGACATCATAATAACTGTCTGGACCACTGGACGAGTTCTGCAGGATTGGAAGGATGCCCTGGTCGTCCCCATCTTTAAGAAAGGGGACCGCACAGACTGTAACAACTACAGGGGCATCTCACTCCTCAGTGTGCCGGGAAAGGTCCTGGCAAAGATTATTCAACATCACCGTGCCAGGCACGCTGAGAAGAGACTTGCGGAGCCCCAATGTGGTTTCTGTCCATCTGCGACAGCAGAGGTCTATGGAATTGCAACAAGACCTACATCTCTGCCTCATTGACCTGGTCAAAGCCTATGATACCATCAGTAGGCCTGGGCTCTGGGTTGTTCTTCATCCTGTTGGAGTCCCCGACTCTCTGCTCACAAGCATT